CTGAAATAAATAACTACATTATTTTTAACAAACGCCAATGGAAGCAGAAACATCAAGTCTCAACAGAGGAGAGTGGTCGGCAACGTGGTTGATATCTACCTCCTATAGGGGTCGAAGCCAGAACTCAAGGAGTCAATAATTTGAAATGTTCTAAAATGACCCCTTTCTAAAAAGGATATGACCCCTTAAATTGTTATTTGTCTTATTTATTAATGTCTTATTTCTTCTTCTCTTAACTAAAATTCGAAATTTTAATCTCTACATTTTTCAGCCAGACGAATATTATTACAATAGCAATTTAAAACGTGCGCGGTGTCAGCCCCGTAAACGAATTAAATGGGGGGAAATGGGTCTGCTTCACTGCTCAGATATCTCCTATAAATTTAGTAAAAAAGAAATTTCTTCATGGATGTAAAATTGATACTCGTATCACTTTTTTCGTAGTTGAAATATTATAACATTATAAGCGACAATGCGAACATATATTTCGCTCGCAGGATTTCTATTGACTGAGCGGCGTGCGTATTCAGTCACTGCAACCATTTAACCATACATCAGACTTTACACAAATGTCGATTCCGTTATTGTGTACATACCTGTACTTCACAGAGCATTACGTGACCGGTTCCTACTTAACCGTTTCTGGTACCAGGAAGCTGTTGGCACTCATTGTTCTACCCAAAAGAGGTGCCAGAACCTTCTAATGACTGGCCTTCGATATTCGTATGAGGCATCGAGCCTAAATGTTTACCTGGAGTGACAGAAGAGGTGTGAAGACGCTGGCACGATGCAAGTTTGCGGAGCGCAATGATATTCCGCCGAATGCTATTCTTGGCCTTGAATAACAACGGTTATTTCATCAGGGCAATGGACTGTTTGTCTCCAAACAATGCTCGAAGAATACAAAATAAATGTGCTTGGAATACTAATTTAGACTCGATGTACAATTCAAAGGTTCACTTACCGCCAAGCTCAACGTTCAGCTAACTACCAAAGTTTCCGGTGTAACATTGACAGCACATAGAAGATTTAATTATAACTCGATGAGCTGAAGAGAAACATGAACAAATAATACCAGTATTTTACGTATAACCATGATACCAGGACTGAGAGACACGGCATTTCCGTCCTGAATGAGCTTGACGTAATACATGATTCAGCGGCTAACAAGTGTATGAATTCTGTATGGTAAAGAGGCATTATTACCCTCACGATGTAACCATGGCAAGGCCATCTCGGAGAAATTGACTCGAATTAGCAAAAATGTATTAAGATTAGGTTTAGAATAAATTAAGCCACATACAGTACGTACTAATTATAGCCGTGTATGAGATTATGGTGATGTTAATACAACTCCGTTAGGCTAGTCACCTTTTGTACTCGACGTGAATATGAAGTATAAAGTTAAAGAGAAATCGTAGCTAACTTTTTCAACACAATTACCCTTTCAAATGCTAACATAATCTGAATTCTCTCTCAGCTTGGTTTCACTCACTGAGAATACTTTCTTGCAGCAGTTTAAGTTTTATTGTTACGGAAAATAATTAATTCACTCTGTAAGTACGAGCATAATACTTTTTAAAGTCTGAATATACGTGAAAATTTGTAAATTATTGACATAATGATGGAGCTGTTAACCGAAACGTTTTCAATGAAGATATAATTAAATTACTTTGCTTCTAAATTTTGGGTGAACTTGCGAAAATAAGCACAGTACAATGATATAGGTAGGCATATTTAACTTATTTCATTATATATGTTACTTTAACTTAGCTTATACTTCTACCAAAGCATACTTGTATGTACATAAATATGCTCATTAATATATATTAAAATAATTAATAATTTTCCGAAACAGATTACAAAAGAATTGACATTGTGTATTTATTTAAATCTTTAACACGTCTCCTCACTCATTGTAGGCTTCGCAGAATCAAATTTTCCGAGAAATTCCGTGGCAAGTTTCGTCGTATAAGGCGCGCTTCATACAAGACGTGTCTAGTTTGAACAGAGTTTACTCGTAATCACAGAAAATTTACAAAAAAATAATATGCGGGTGAACCTGGGATGGTATGGGAAGTTTTTACTTCCGTAATCAATAACAACTGTCTTAAAAAATTAATAATCGTGATTAAGGCTAAAGTATCAAAATATTTAATGTAAATAATGTAAATGTAAATAACAAAGCCGATGTATATAGTTGGGTCAGACGCGATTGCAATTAAGATCATGAAGCATTCTGTAACTAATAACTGTCGCTGTACAACACTGCCATGCAAAAGACTTATGGAGGAACATCCGCTTCATATTTTGAGAACATAAAACCTTTTCACAGTGTTAACATTAAAAATAATCGGTAAATACTTATTCTTTACCGATATTCTAGAAGAAAGTTACGTCATTCTAAACAGACGAAGTGGAGCGACCTGCCAGTATACTTTCAAAAAAAGTTAAGAGATCGTAAATTCGTCTGCCAATCAATCATTGGCGGACTTTCAAGCTAAATCCACCAACCATAGACAATAAAATAGAGAGTAAGTACTTACGTTCAATTACCGAGTTTTGAAAGTATGGCCCCTGTAGCTTACGCCTGCGCTCAACATTGAAGTGAGCATCGGCAGCCTTGGTCGTAGCGAGAGAGTCTTGACCGTGAAGCGGCAACCACCCTAGAATATTATATTAAAGTTGCCGGGATTCCCTTCACGAAATAAGGTCACGGCTTACATTTACTTTCGAATGCCGAATCCCGGGGAAATTCTCGTGAATTCGTATGAATACTTTATGCTTTTCAGCAACGGAATCTTTTCTTGTCATATGGACTAGAAAATCTACAACAGAATCTTTTCTTGTCATATGGGATGAAAGGGTAAAATATAGTGATTTAATTAGAGTTAAACTAATGAAATCTGTGCTTCTTCAAATCAATAAAAAATTATTGACTCTGACAGCTTACGAATGAAAGCTAAGATTTTCATATAATATATTAACTAGCCAAGTTTTTAAATCTCTTCTCTTCTTGTAGATTAACATTACGATTCCATTTCTCACATTTTTCTTACTCGCATTGGCGCTTGATGTTTGTATCGGAAGTGATTGAGTGCCCTGCATGCTTTTTTCGAAACTGTGACAGAAAATAACGGATTAGTCCTTTGAAAGGTAACGACTATGAACAATTACCTTTGTACTGAATTTTTTTTAATCCAATCAATGATAAACCAAGCTAAGAAAGATAACTCATTTAAGGTATTGTGTTTAACAAACATGATTATTTAGAACATTCATTGACTAGAGCTCATTATTTGTGAGCATTGAAATTCCTGCACTCCTACGATCATAAGGAAGCAGGAGTTGTAGACTGTAAACCTAACCTAGAGCACAAGCAAAGCAATCCTTGACATTGATTTTGACCTCACTTACTTACGCTCTCAGTTTCCGTTACGACACTTTCAGCGGGAAAAAATTGAGATCGATCGAGATCAGGAACTCGGACTTTTGCAGGAAACATATTCTCATTATAATTAAAGAATCTATGAAAAAATGTTCGTCTTCTTGTACATTGTACTTACAAGTCTTTATATTTATGTTGTTTGCAAATGTTTATGAATTATTTTCGGGCAAATTTTTAAAAATTATCAGTGCATTATTTTGTAACCACTGAAACTTCACTTTATGCTATTGAAGGTTAAATATATACAGTAATATAATACAGTCTCAATCATGCAATCATTCATTTCATTACAACCTTATCATACATTAGTTAATGCCTTGTAAGTAATCCAAGGCTGGCTTTCTCTCATTGTAGCATGAAGTAAGGCCTATTGTGGTAGGAACTTGTATAACAAGTCCTGTGAACAAAGCCTACGCACAAGCTATTTGCTGCGCTTTAACAAAGAACGCGGGCACTACGAATAGGCTTAGATTAGTCCTATCTAATTTACGTGTGCGAAGCAGACAGATTTTAGGCACGTAATTAACCGACCCCACATTAGAACCAGAATTTTATTGACTATAATGCTCAAAAAAACACATGTTGATTTTAGTTTCTTGGAATCCTTCATCTTTACTTTCACTCTTCCGGGATTTTCTTACTCGAGATAGAGCCCCAAGTTCCGCTGGGATTTCCGATGTAAGATGGAAACTTGGATACAAGCGTCATGCACAAAAACAGTTCCGGATTGAGAATAATATTGAGAGTTTCAGTTTATGACTACGAGCCTTACAAGGTATATAATCAATAGGTATACGCATAGGTCAGCTGTCTCCTTGATACTTGGGCAATATAGCACACCTTGTGGATTTGGTGTGCTTGAATATAATGCAAATATAGTTCAATAAAAAGGACGTTAAAATTTTTTAATTATGGTAAATGATTTTTATATAAATACAATTCATGATATCAAAGTAAAGTCGGCTATAAAGATTCCTCACAGTTATTCACTCGTTGCCGCTGCTGATATATCAGATCCTTCGCCTACATATCCGCAATAAAAAGATCAAAACTTGACATTAATATATATGGAAATTTATATAAAAACCAATACCTTTTTTGCATATTTTATTCAAGGTTTGAATGCTTCTGTCTGACGATGAATCTTGATAACTATAGGGGAAGTGACGCTCAAGTATCTAAAGTATTATGACCCCTGTCTCTTATACACATCTAGATGTGTATAAGAGACAGGTAACGTACAAGTATCTCAAGTATTATGACACCAAGAGTTCAGGTAGAGCCGTAGAGACAAGTAACGTACAAGTATCTCAAGTATTATGACACCTGGAGTTCAGGTAGAGCCGTAGAGACAAGTAACGCACAAGTATCCCAAGTATTATGACACCTGGAGTGCAGGTAGAGCCGTAGAGACAAGCAACGCTCAAGTATCTCAAGTATTATGACACCAAGAGTTCAGGTAGAGACAAGAGGGCGCAATCGATGCGTGGCCCTGAGGTGGATGTTCTTGGCCGTAAGGTCAGCGCAGGCAGCGCAGGTGTATAAAGCAGGCGTCTGGTGCTACGTCTCAGGACAGTTCCACACGCCTTGCCTTCGCTTGTGCTTCCATCCTCTTGTCTGAGGTATGTACGTTGGATTTATTGTAATAAACATTTGGATTTGGTTTGTTGGCATTGTGTCTCGCGCAGTGAATGAATTTTTGACTGAGTATTTGGGAAATATTGATTTGATCTTACCGTTGCTTTATGTAAACTCGTATGTATGCTTTAGGAAATATTATTGTTATATGGGTGTAAAGAAGTAACTTAGGTGAAAGTTTCTAATGCAATAACTATTACATGTCTCATTATAAAATACCTGGAATTCATAAATTATCGCCAAATCCACCGTTTCTCAAAAGTGTTAACTTATATTGATTTTTTAGTTGAAAGTTTTTACTGTTATAAAATTCAATACTCTGTAAATATTTGATACAATTTTCAGTAGAAATTACGAATGCATTTATTTGTGTAATAGAGTTGATTATTCATAAACAGTGGATTTTAAGAGTAGCAACAACTGCGCATTAAAAAGTTCTCAAAAAAATTTAGGTTAGTTCTACGAATAGGACCCTCACATTGACAAACGTTATTAAAGAAATTTTTATGTCGACTTTCGGAATTATGGGAAGTATATTGGAATTAAGCAAGACAATAGACAAAATCTTGATCGTTAATATATGTTCGTACGATGCCGTAAAAAATTAGCTTATGATGCTATTCTGAACAAACTCGTCGATTTTCAAATGCATGAAATTGTGTAAAAAATGAATCGCAGATAAAATAGAATCGACTATCGGCACGTAAAAATTTGTGCAAACATCTTCACTTCATAATCACTAATTTTCCAGTTGACCAATGGAATCGAACTTCAACTACTCAAATTCTGTTTTTATATGAGTCCTAATTTCATATTCATCACAATTAAGCTGCTCGAAAAAAATACCATTTCAAGTTATTAATTAACGATTTCAAAGTTTTGATCTAAAAGTCACAGTCTGGAATGCGATCTATCATCAGGGTGGACGACATATATATTATAAATGTTATTAGCATCACCACAAGAATACTAAATAATCATTACACTTTTCAATCTTAACGTCGGCATGCTTCGGACCCAGTTATTACAATTAATTCATACAGTGAAGCCAGTTTGTTAACACCGACCTGACCTAAAATATGAAGCCCTAGATCGTACCCCGTCACTTCATGACGCACACACCAAAACTGAGATGAGAAATTCAAGGTTGCCGCCGGGTCGACGACGCGTCAGTAGATAAACGCACCCTTGACTCTTGGCGGTGACTTTATGTGTTGTTCCGCATCCTTTAAGGAAGACATCGCCGCCGACACTGAGGGTTGTTTGTAAGCAGGAAGTATCTGCCATATGACTGTACGCAAATTGATCAATACGATGGATTTAGAAGTCCGTGATAATTTCAAAATCTGCGGTGAAATATCAATGATAGGAGTCAGTGGAATTCGTGCTGATTGTTGCAGCAGATGCAAAATAAAAGCTATATTGATGGATTATAAAAATGTTAGCACATATTTTAAAATAAGCCATAAATGTATAAATCGATGGACTGTAACTCATGACCAAACGATACATGAGAATGAATTACAGATGGTACCATTGATATTTATGCTTGACTGGCAGAGCACAAAAATTACGACCTTGACAAATGAATCTCAATCCAAAAGCGAGTTAAATTGTACTAACTATAAGTTAATATAAAGAAATGTTAAATAAAATCTTCAGAGAAAAACCGTGCAATTAAGGTTTTGTTCCTTATTGCGGAGAACGGTTAAAAAATTAGTTTTCCTTCTACAAAATAAAATAAACTTATTCAGACGTCTTTTATCGCCGATTTAAAGTACATTTTACATGTCTGCCATAATTAATAAATTAAAGATTAAGAACATCACTTTAAACAATTAATATCCAGTCTCTATGTATCTTTTATTATTTACGTATATTATACCACTATTTCGTTATTTATGTCACACATGACACCAGCACATATCTGACCGATTAATGTTTTTTTTTGCAAATATAAATTTACAGAAAAATGCGTTTCCTGACACTACTGACGCTGGGGGCGCTTCTGGGCGTCTCCCTAGCAGACGACACTCCTGACACTGCTGCTGCTGCTGCTGCACCTGCTGCAGATGCTGCCTCCACCAGGAGTTTAGCCAACCCAGCTGAGCCCCAGACCAGGTAGGTCGCGACGAATCTCAGTGGATGTTGCATTAAATGAATCATTAAGAACTGAAATTCATAGCCAAGTTTGAAAGTCTCAGTCAAAAACAGCAGACAGCTTCTTACTCGGGAATTTAAATATCAACAACCTATTATGTGTCATAAATCAACAACCTATTATGTGAATAAATAATAAAGAAAAATAACCCAAATGCTCAAGAGTTACCGACTACGTGTACCTACAGAACGCAAAAACAGGTTTTGAAGTTGTTTTATAATTACCGGCAGTTTTCTTCGTTATGTGAAGATTACAAGTTGTGCTTTGCAACTCCTAAACTCGCTTATGTTTTCCCATCCTATTTGCACTCGTTTAGCAAACCTCAGGTCGGTGCATGATATGTGATATAACTTGGAGTAATCCCAGGGTTAAAAATGTTTTTCTGGCTTTGGCAGCAAATGTATGTATACCATTTACAAGCTATTACCGCTATTCTCTGAAGTTAATGAGAGGCAACCCTATCCTGGATCAGCTCTCAGTACTCATACGCGTACATAAGAAATATTCCTTGAGATATTTTTTAAATACTCATAACAGCGTTTAATGCAAATATAAATAAATTCCTTTTACAATTGCAGGTTATTCGGCCTCGGCAACGTGATCGGCAACTTGCTGAACTCGTGCTCGCGCTGCAACCCCACAGACCAGGCCTTCGCTAACAGGTGTTGCCAGAGCGGCCAGCAGCAGTGCTGCTTCGCCGTAGGAGGATTCGGACCAGGATTTGGAGGTGGCTTTGGAGGTGGGTTTGGACCTGGATTTGGAGGTGGATTCGGGCCTGGATTCGGTGGTGGATTTGGGCAACCCGGACTTGGAGGCGGATTTGGTCCCGGATTTGGAGGCGGATTTGGGCCTGGATTCGGAGGCGGCTTTGGGAGCAACACCAAGCCAGGTTTTTGCCCCCGGCAAGGAATTTTCGGCCCCCTGACCCGCAGCGCCGCTGGCGCAGGCCAGAACGCCTCACCTGCCCCATCACGTACCACTCGCCAAGCCCCAGCAGCTGCTGCCCCGGCTGCCACCGGAGCCGCCCCCAGAAGCGACGACCCCAGTACTAGGTTCCTCCCCAACCCCTTCGGTCCTGGATCTCTCCTCCCCAACCCCTTCTGCAGGGACGAGTGCTTCAACGACTTTGACTGTCCCGGCAACCTCAAGTGCTGCCTCCGCGACTGCAGAGTATGCAACAACCCCACCTTCAACTTCTTCTAATTTAGCTACTCTTTACTGGAAATGATATTTTTCCATTCTATTCAAGCATTTGAATGGAGAACAAGAAAGACAAATTTTTATAATAATTAAAATAAATTAAATTAAGAAGAGAGTCATTTTCCTTTCGATGGAGTCATAATGTCTTGAAAAAGTACAGCAAGGAAAAAACGGTTTATTTATCAGATCTGTTTACTGCTCAATGGTGAATATGCGCAACGGAATCGCATCAGAAACTCCTGACTGTACGTCATTGATAAATCCTTCACATGGACGTGATATTAAATGTAAGTCTATTGCCAAAATTATTCCCTACAAACTTCAAATTATGAAAATGATTCTAAAAACTGAAACAGTACATTAATACTGCAGTTAATTTATGACCGTGTTGAATGGTCTGTTTGACATATCAAATTAATCATCGCTTATTATGAAGGCATTGAGAACTTCGCCTTAAAGGCCTCCATGCCAGCCACTCAGGCGCTGATATCTGGAATCTTTATCTTGGTCAAGTGACCGAGAAAAGTCCAGCAGCGGAGCACTCAGCAGCTCATAGGTTGACGGATTTAGAGCGGCGACCCATCGACACTCGTTGAATGTCCTGAAATACTCCGTTTCTCCAAAGGAAAAATGTTTCGGAGGATGAACACAGCAATAAATGAGTGTCAGGAGAAAAATTGGTGCAAAACGTAATTTTTAATAAATGAAATGATTGAGATAATGTGCATTCAATCGTAAAATTTAGTCATATCGGCGGAGAATGATTATGTCTAATAAGTCAAATTTAGATTAAATTTAACCATAGATTTCATTCTTCAACATAGGCATGTGTTCTATTCACATAATCATATGCATGCAGCAACAATGGAAAACTGCTTTCCTGCAGATAGCCAAGACTTACATAAAATTCTTATCATTCCATAAGATAATTTCAGTTGGAAGATTGCCATTTGGGTTTTATTTATTCCTGAATTAATTTGGCCGGCTACAGTTCCCAACATTTCGTGCAATTCTGTGTGGGCAACCTTCCTCATTTCTTCATACCCCAATTTGAAGATTTAAGCTAACTCTAGCCTGTATATAGTACGGTTCAGAAACAGCCCACCAGTCAGATTCCAATTACGACTGCTTGTGAGGAAGAATGATGGGCTCACACAATCGGACAAAAAAAATTAAAGCCGTATGAACACGATGCATATTTATTTGAAATTTTTAAAGGTGATGAACACTGGTGGATAGAGAATGATGGTCCAGTTGAAGAGAAAAGATACTATATCTGCTAATAACCTATTCCAATTTATGAATCAAACGATGACAAGATGAATGACAAAATAAACAAGCCTAAAATTTTGGTGCGTCCTAATGCTGAAAGCTTACAGGAAGGCAATTAACAGCTAGGAAACTAAAGAGAAATCAGTGAAAGGAAGGTACTCTAGACCTAGACTCTAGACGGAAAGTTAGAATAGGAGAGTTCGAGATTTGACGTTTGAAAATAAATGAAAGATTAAGGAAACGAAGGTCTGGGCTATGGCATTTGGTTCCACGGCAAAACTGGCGACCACGCTTCAACGTATTTGAATTTCAATAGTTGATTAATGATACAGAAATTGATCAAGTAAATTGTCTAGAGTACCGTAGAAAAATTGAATACAGAGCGTGAATAAATAAATGAAAAATATCAGTTCACACAAATAAAAAGATGTGAAAAAGCAGACAGGGAAGAAGGATGATGTTCAGGACTAACGTCGCTCCTCCTGCGGTGCTGGCTGACGGCAAAGTAGTGAATAATTGAAAATTTCTGACAGCGCTGAGGTACGTGAATTGAATTGAATTTGTTCCACAAGAGAATGCTAGGTTGACCGTATAGATGTTGATTCTTGAATAAATAGGCTGAAATTACTACCTAAGTAAACTGTGGACCTACATACAACAAACTCGGAATACAACATGAGTAATGGGGGGGAAAAATGAGTAATGGGGGAAAATTAAAATAGCAAAAGGCGTCCAAAAATTAAATGGCGTCGTTAGCAATGGAAGATGCTAACAAAGCCACATCTTTACTTTTTCGTCCGCTTCGTCTTCACTTTGGAGTGACACTTCCAGCGTGCGTCTCGTCTAAGGTGGCAGCTTTGAGGTGTGAGACGATCTGCGCATTAGGGCTTCAGCAACAGCTCGTCTTCTCACGAGGCACTGGTCTCGGCGAGAGCTGATCGAGGAGAGAACCGCATGCTGCAGGTTAGGTGTCCGTCACGATCGAAGGCTCAGAGTAGGCAATTTGTAGCTCCGGCTAGTTTCCATGATATGGATAGCTGTTTTCACTTCACTACTCTCAAGCCAAATAATAAAAACCTTCTTGTCTTCCAGCTGAATATATACACGTTAGTTAACCAATTTATTATAGCCTACTATTATAAGATAAACAACCATTTTAAGAGCTCAGCTACTATGTCCTCAAATTCAAGAGTTTGACGATATTCTGGACCCTAATATTTAGTTTGTTATAATTGTTTATATCAATAAAAAATCATTCATTCGTTTCATTAAAATCAATGTTGTCACTTAATTGACAGGACGGGCGGCACGGAACTTAGCGCGTCAGTTTCCATGTACTCCCAGGGCTGGCTTGCGCTGGCCAGGTGAAGCTCTTGCTCCCGATTCAGGGGACTTTCACCGGGCCGTAGCTCGGGCCAATTCACTTTTTTCAAGTTTTATTTTGTTCACCTAACACAATTCTGATTTAATGCATTCAATATCTTTTAAGTGTATCTTTACATTATCAATAAGGTGAAATTTGATCTTTCCTTCCTCTAGAAAGGGAAGTCGCGCTAAAGTATTGTACAGGACTGATGAACAGTAAAATTTAAGAGATATTTACAGTAAGAAATAGAACTTAAGTGAACGATTGCCCTCAGAGTAATTAAATTATTTTTAATCTACTTCCTAGATAATGAATCGAAGTAATTAATTTCTTCAAGTGAAGAAATCACCATGAATTTTTTTCAAATCACCGATGACTTTTTGCTCACGTGTAATATTAATATTAATAAACGTCATCTGATAAATTATGGTTATCGTAAGGACTGAAGAACGCAAATCCGATGCTCAGGTAATGGACAAGCAAACCTCAAGGCTTAGTCTGTGGATTTGCTTGTAAATTATTGATATTCCCTGAAATTCTGAGCGTGCCATTCGGTGAAACAATGGCTGAACGTGACCGAAGCTGCTGAGAAGAGAGCAGTTATAAGGCAAGCATCGAATGAGGTTTTGGTGCCGCATACGAGGCCATAAATGCTTGAGATGGAGACGCAATTCTGGTTTATTAGATGCACTAAAATTCAGTTACTTTTGCTGTGGCTGACGTTGCTCATATATATGCAGACGAGACAAGCTATTGCTTGGCCTGCAATTTCTGACAATAGCAACAACGGAGCTGAGATGAAACAGGTGAGTTATCGTTTTCAATGATCGATGGCAGAGAAATAAAAAATATTGAAATCAATAATTGAAATATTTCAGAAGTACCTGCATTGAAAAGTATGTTTCAGTGCGCGAACATATATTGCTTACAAGAAAAATGTTTCGATAAAGTTAAGTCGAAAAATAAAATTCCTGCAGCCGTCATGCAGGAACGAAACGAGTGCGTCGAACATTTAATGAAAAGGAACCTTTAATCGTGCAGTTATTTGCACCTGAACATAATTTGTGATGAAATAATTGTTAGAATATTTAAACTCTGTATTGTTATTAATTATGATTGTGGTTATATTGTATTAAAACTCTGAGATTACTGTAAAATTAGAATATATTTTAAATATTTTTATTTTAATCAAATTATCTGTATTACGCACAAGAAGGCTTTTTCAACAAATTAGAATTTTTCTAAAGTTAATCTCGTCTCCGGACGAGGCTGTATTGCTTTGCGCTGTACTACTGGGTTTGAAACATCAGTAAAATAACATTTTATTGAAAAAGAAGAAATATTTTCTTAAATCCTATAATATTCTAGGTAAATAAAAAATGGTTATTCACGCACAATCCCTTGGTTTTGTCTGAATGAAATTCAATCATTTAATTGTTTTCCACCTCAATACTTTGAATATATTAAGAAACCTTCGAGGCTACTTAAAAAATATGGATTATTAGCGATTACCGAAAATTTCATATTGTCATACGTGCACGGTGATCGCAAATCTGATACTATTAATTAAATACATCGTCCTATGTGTTGAATTGTCATAAATCTAGTTCTCCCATATGTGTACGATGATCATAAACCTAATTTTACCATACGTGTACTATGATCGTAAATCTCGTTCTACCATAAGTTTTGATGATCGTAAATTTGTCTCTCTACGAACAACAGACGAAATCACTAAAAACGAATAGCGGTCAGATGGGAAATGATTGTGCTATAAGAACAAAAAAATTCGGTGTTTTTTTCGGTCGAAAGAAATTTCTACATCGACGACCTGATGCCGCCCGGCCAGAGCCGGGTAAAAGCACCGTAAAGCTTCTCACTAAATCCTGCTTATAACCTTTGGGGTCCCGTCATTCACGTTCATTGAGAAACATTCGACTCCCTCAAGAACTTTCATGGAAACATCGAGGATTTCTACAACAAACATATTTTTTATTCAGGCTTCAATTCAATTTTAATTAGTGGTTACGATTTTATCCGTATTGAATAAGCGACATGACTCTTAAATTAGAATTAATCTTAATTTTAAATTAAAATCTTGAATTTTAAGATTTTAATCCTAAAAATCGTAAAAATGTAAAATCTTAATTTAAAATCTTAAATTAAAATAAAATCTTAAATTGTATAATTTAACATTTTATGATTTTTATGATGAGCAGACACATGGTGGACCAGGTCTCCAAAACAACCCCGTCGAGCACCGGTCCATGTTGTGGCCGGAGGGAGTCATCCCGTACAACATCTCGGCGCCCTTCAGTGAGTCAGCAGAGCAGGACCTATACTTTCAAAAAAAGTTAAGAGATCGTAAGTTCATCAGCCAATCATTGACGGCCTATCAAGCCAAATCCACCAATCATAGACAAGAAAATAGAGCGTAAGTACTTACGTTCACATAGCGAGCTTTGAAAGTATCCACCAATCATAGACAAGAAAATAGAGCGTAAGTACTTTCGTTTACTTAGCGAGTTATGAAAGTATGGCCCCAGGAATATTAATTCTGGCTCTGACATCTGGCCAATGCTCGGGAAAAGTATCGAGGGAAAAATGATTAAGAAACTATGTAGTATTAATCAGCTCTGCGTTGTATTTGGTTTAAATAAATTGCCAGGTATTTCACGACCAAAATTGTGAATTTATCACGACTATGACTAATTTAGAGTAATTTTTGACTGTTTTAGACTAATTTATTTCATCCACATGACAAATATTGATGTTTAAATCAACTTTCTCTTCTGAGGGTTCAAGATTCTTGATAAAAATTGAAACACAGGAGCCATAGCTCAAAATTCATGCAATGGCTGCTCCAGTGAAAAGAAACTGCGAACCCCATAAATTTCGATCATCAAAGTCAAACTATTCCAGTGCAACCAATCCTGCATTCCAGTGCAACCAATCCTACATTCTGGTGTAACCCTGTCTCTTATACACATCTAGATGTGTATAAGAGACAGATATTGTAGTGTTGTTGTAAATATTGTAGTGTTGTTGTAAATATTGTAGGGTTGTTGTAAATATTTTGGTGTTGTTGTAGATATTGTCGTGTTGTTGTAAATATTGTAGGGTCGCTGCAAATATTGTAGTGTTGTTGCAAATATTGTAGTGTTGTTGTAAATATTGTAGGGTTGTTGTAAATATTGTGGTGTTGTTGTAGATATTGTAGTGTTGTTGTAAATATTGTAGGGTTGTTGTAAATATTGTAGGGTCGCTGCAAATATTGTAGTGTTCATGTAAATAATGTAGTGTTGTTGTAGAAATTGTAGTGTTGTTGTAAGTAGTGTAAGTACATGTAGTGTTATTGTAGATATTGTACGTTTCCATGACGCAACATTAACGCGATAGGTCTACTGTTGGTTGATGTTGCATAAATAACTCGAAATTCGGGAAATATACTGTGCGGCCTTCACATTTTCTCAGGACTGTCAAATCCGTTGCATGCAATAACATTAGACGAACTCTCCTTCAGAATATTCATCTATTTTTTCTGAAATAATACGTGATGCGATGACACACTTACATTTTTTACTGATATTTTTTCTGTAAAATCTACATTCATTAGGGGAAATTTTAATCTCCTAATGATTGAAGTTTTGTGCCATTTAATCCATATTATTGAGATAATTGGCTATATTTTCCAGACTAAGATTAATTGCTTTTTGGAAATTTCAGATGGACATACGACAGATAAACTTCCTCTACGACTGCGGTAAGCTTGTACCTGCAATAATTTCTTATGATGAATTTTTCATGATGAACCTGAATTTCGGCGCGAAAAATAATTTCCGTTTGTTAATTTGACTCGATTACAGGTTACGATTCGAAAACAGATCTTGTATAACAATAACTTATAAATCAAATTCAAATAAATTAAAGGATTAATATTTATTTCAAAACCATATTTGTAATCGTGCAACGGTACGTTGCGAGTACCATCGAGTTTCATATAATATCGTTAAAAGTTACAAAATAAAATTTATTTTAGTCAGTCGTCGCTTGAACTTCTGCAGCCTGACTAATTTATTTCTTTATTTTTGTTTACTGTTGACCTACGCTAAACACATAGTTAGAACAGTAGACATATTATAAATATTTGCGTTCTACCTTGCAGCAAACTTTATTTCAGAGCGACCAGGACGCCGAGTGGGAGTTCTGCCAGACCCAAGAGAGCTGTCGCGCAACCTCACGCTTTACATTGAAGTGCGGAACGGTGAGTTCTTATCCAGTTATTAACTTCGTCAACATTTTTAGTCATTAAAGTGCGTATTAACTTAACGATAATTCATGAGTAGGTCAGTATTTAAACAGTTTATCTCCTGTTGTCCATGGCTAAAAGTGGCGTCATAACTGTAATTGCAGCCTTAAAGAACCGAAATCTGAGAATGGGTGTGCGTCCTGCAAGGTGATTTACATTCGACTGGAGTACACTACCCGTGGCATACTTGAAACTTGAATGAATATTGTTGATCTAAAAGTACCAAAGTAGAGCTCAATTAATATTGTACGACTAGAAGCTTTTAACTCGTAGATAAATACTTCCATCTACATTGAAGTAAATATATCAGAAAACATATATAACTTCACAATTAGTTTGTAAGAACTGCATCTTTTGACAGTCTGACTTAGTGTTACGTTACTAAGAGCATCACACGATAATAAATCTCAGTTTATTCCGCTTCATAAGTTTTTACACTCGAGTTGATCGAGAAGAAGTACGCCACGAAGTACGAAGAAGTACATTGATCGAGAAGAAGTACATTTGTAGAATGCAATTATGTCAGCAAAAGAAAGGGAATGGAAAGATATTTTATGACATTTAATCATGTCAGAAATTTGGGATATAATTTTTTGTGGGACGTAATCGTGTTAGGAATGCAGAGTGTCATTCTTTGTGGGACGAAATCACGTTAGGACTGTGGGATATCATTTTTATGGAATGAAATTATATTAGAAATGTGGTATGTTATCATGTTTGGAATGCAGTTCCTGTTTGATGCCGCAAGTTAACTTACGTTGCAGGGAATGACGCGCGGCGCACGGCGGCAGATTGGTTCTTGCTCGCCGCGCTGTTGCTCACGAGACATCTTCTTCACTCAGCCGCCTGAGAAGCTTTCCAGGCAACGCAAATGATGGCGATGGCGGAAAGAAAAGATTACATGGTTCAAAAAGCCTTGGAAATTATTTGCAACGACATTTATGGGAAACTAATAACTCGCGTGCGCGCACGCTCTATTCAATTCGTATTGTGCTTGGATCAGAAATCCATCAATTACTATAGCCTAATCAGTATAGTCGAGAAGTGACTATATAATCAGTATAGTCGGCCTGTTGTTTGAACTTCAGGGAGTTCTGTTACTGACGATTTTACGTCTGCACGGTTGCTGGGAATGATTTAGTAAACGGTTACTCAGATTCAATTAGCAAGCAATTTCATCTGTCAATATCGAGAAACTTTCTGGTGAAATAAAAACTGGATAGAACAGATATTCATTTTAAGATCGTTTAATGTGTGGGTTTTATCAATAAATTGGTAATATTTGTTTCGCTAAATTAAGATTTATAACTACTACACTTTGTGTTTTAGTTCGTACTAAAAGTTCTAATACAGTGGAATCCGAAATGGTGGAGGAACGGAAGAAAAACACACGCAGAATTACAGCTCAATACATCTGAACCTCAACAACAATAATACATTGAGATCTAACATATTTTTCATTAAAATGCACTAATTATTGACTTTATCCGTGCATGTCCTGCATAGCAGCTGGCTGATAAAGAATTGTCACACGTTACCTAGACAGGTTTTGATTCGGTACTTCACCAGAGGTTACTCGTCAAGCTAAAAGCACTTGGTGTGGATGGTCAGTCGTTAGGATGGAGCAGAGCATTTTTGAGCAGTAGACGTTAACAAGTCTGCGTTAATGGCAGTCTTCCGGACAGGGCGGCTGTACAAGCGGAGTGCCACAAGAAAGTGTCCTGGGGCATGTTCTTTTCGTGGTGTTCATTAACGATTTGGTGTCCGAACGTCGTGGTGTCCATTAACGAAGTCGACAATGGAAAAAGATTTAGGAGTTAATATCGACAATGAGTTGAAATTTTCTAAGCATATTGAAGGTCAAGTTAATAAAGCTAATAAACGACTTGGACTGACCAGACGCTCTTTCGAGTTCCTAGATGCAGAAGCGATGAAGCAGTTGTTTGTCGATGAAGCAGTTGTTTGCGATGAAGCTGTCGTGTGCCCGAACCTTGAGTTTGGAAATGTCGTGTGGTCACCGAAACTTGAAAAGGACAAAAACTTAATAAAGAATTCAAAGACGTGCAACAAGGATAATTCTGGGCATGAAAGGCAAGTCCTATGAGGAAAGATTAAAGATTATGAAGCTTCCAAGCCTCAGTTATCGACGCCTGCGAGGGGAACTCATTGAAGCATAAGAGTATACTCATGGCTTATACAAGGTCCCAGAAGGATTACTAGAATTTGAAACAAGAACCAACACCACGGGCCACGGCTATAAACTAAAAAAAAACTGCGTTGTAACACATCCATGCGACAACATTTCTTCTCGCTTCGAGTCACCGACATGTGGAACAGCCTCCCTGACAGCATCGTTGACGCTCCGAGTATGAACGCCTTCAAGAACAGACTAGACGAAGCTATGCAGGAGCATATGTTCAGTCTTAAAATGCCTAGCAAATTACGGGCCAGGCAATAAGTCCAGCAGCTATCTCAATCAATTGTCAGTTATGGAAAGATCGGGTTCCAAAGGCGGGATCCCTTGTGAATCAAGTCACGAAAAATTCAAGAATCGGCAACAGGTCATGGGCCTATTTCTTCAGTGCCGACATTTCTATTCTATTCTATTCTAAATGCCGTCGAGTGCTTGTGCTTCATGTGCGTGGACGACACCAAGATGTAAAAAGCGTGGAAACGAACGCTAATCAACAAAGCTTCAGAGTGATTTAGATAATCTTGTTGGCTGGGCAGACACTTGGCAGGTTAATTTCAATGCGGAAAAATGCAAGGTGCTCCATTTTGAAATGCAAAATAGGCATTACAAATATAATATGCGCATACGAAAGCGCGGCAGTACGGAGATGTGTTGAATTAAAAGTGATAGAACTTGAAAAGGACTAGGGTGTGGATGTGGACATAAGTTTGAAGTTTTCTCAGCACGTCGAAATTCAGGTGAACAAGGCCAACAGACTGTTAGGTCTCATCAGGAGATCATTTGTGTACCTGGACTACCAAATTATAAAGATGCTTTTATCGCAATTGTCTGTCCACGCCTAGAGTTTAGAAATGTAGCGTGGTCACCGTTCTTTGAAAGAGACAAGAAGCTAATTGTAGAGCAACCGAAGTAATACAGGTTTAAAATATCTCGAGTATAAATAAAGAATTGAGCAGATAAAAATACCAAGTTTGACGTATAGGAGAGTGAGAAGTGATATGATCGATTGCTACAAATACACACACAATATTCATAATTTGGACAACAGTATACTAAAACTGGAAATGAATACAAACACCAGAGGCGACGGTTACAAGCTGAACAAGCAACGTTGCAATACAAGTCATTGTCAAAACTTTTTCACCCAGCGTGTGGTGGAGAGATGGAACAAACTGCCAGCACAAGTGGTGGAAGCTCCCAGCGTCAACACGTTTAAAAAGGACTGGACAGTGTTATGCGTGAATTTGTGTACAGTGTAGACGGGCCTCCCAACTTTATTAGATCTGATCAAAAGATCAGTAGCCAGTATAGGCAAAAAAATAACTAAAAATATAACTCAGTACTCACTGCAGCGGGCGACAGACAGCGCATTTTTTCGTCGACGAAAACGTGAAGTGACGGACGGACGGACATGGCGAGCACAATAGTGCACTTTTTCAATAAATGATAAAAATGCGCTAAAAAGAGTAACAGGCCAAACAGAATCGGCCACAGGCTGTGGAAGCCTAACATATGATGCCGAGATCGCTACGCTACGCTCCATTGACATGTGCAGTGTGCATGCACTCTAGTTGTTTTGAGCTTCTTGCTTCTAGTGAATGCGGAGACAAGTAGGAATGCAAGTAGACGAGTCAGGAACTGGGATTCTTATTTCTGAATTGAGCTGCACGAAAGTCTTAATTAAGACTGTAACACAGTGGTTACAGTTCAGAGTACCAAGATTGGAGCAGAGAGGTGCGGGTTCGATCGCAGCTCTGTGCGCCAGTTTCTGGTCAAAATTGGCAAGGAGGCTGGGCGGTTAAGCAAAGAAAATTTGAAGCGGTAAGTTGCGAGTTCGAGCCCGCAACAAGCTGTGGATGTTCTGCAATGTTAAGAATCGGCGACAGGCCTTGTTAATGTTAAGAACCGGCGACCCCGCTAATCCGCTATATCAACGAGGCATGAAGCCTGAAATTCCTGCTGGGCACACTGCTGATTTTAGTCGTTATTTCCATCTTAACTTCGTTACCACAACCACTATATTTTGTCGCTGAGGTGTTGAGGAAATGGGCAGTTTTCAGGTGGCAGATGCTTTTGCGTCGACCAAATCTCATTTTCGTACCTTTTACGAGCAAAGGAGGCTGTTGTTGTAATTGCCCATCCTGGTAGTGGCGACTAGGGAGGCGGGGGGGTGATTGATCAGTTTTTCCGGGCACTTTAATGCCACTGGCAGTTCTACGACCATCACTGGCTCGCTGATCCGCCAGAACCATTTTTATTGCATTACACACCACCTTGGACAAGCCAGATACTCACTTATCAACCAGAGTTGCAGAGTTGGATGAATGGCTAAGTTGACCATGAGCTGAGCATCCCGGGAGAACTTGTCCTCAGTGGGACTCTAACCCGGGAGCTGGGTGCGAGAGTGGGTTCACCTCGGTCGGCTTTGAGGTGAATCAGGCGTGAATCGGCAATCTAGTACTATTCCGCAGCTAATTTAAAACTTTTTAGGGAGTTCCTAGACAAAAATTCCAATTCGCGGTTGTACAAGATTAGGCTCTGCTATCATAACCATCAATGAAATAAGAGTCGGTTACCGTCCGACGGGGTCATAATGATGTAGAACTTCTCTTTTCAGCGTTTCTCTTCTAATACATCATCAACTTTGACTTTTCACCTTCCCTGTGCATGATCAATAGAAATTTGTCTGCGATGAGAAATGCTAATGAACGAAAAACGAGAGTTCCTTGTGGGAGACAGTCTTATTATGCAAATGTTTACAGGATTTAACATAACATAACATAACATAGTGATGTCGGCTCTGAAGTGTAGGCCTGATGTGGCCTGTCGCCGATTCTTTTCCATTTCGTGCCTTGTTCATAGATCTAAACTCGTGTCATTTGACCGGATCTTTTCATGACTGGCGATAGTTTGAAGAGAAGCTTCATAATCTTCAATCTTTCTTCATAGGACTTGCCCTTCAAGCCTGGAATTATCCTTGTTGCACGTCTTTGGAGAACGAAGAAATTTATAAGAAGTTAATTTATATTTCATCTTAAATAAATCAATTTAACAAGAAACTTTGCTGAGAATCCGCTCAGCGCTCGGATATGATAATATTCGTAGATATCACTGCACTTACTGCACTTCTCTGCCTCATCATGGCCATCATACTTTGACTTGTGACAGGATTCATTAGAAGTGAAATTGAAGGAGCTGAATCTTCATGTGAGCTTTTCATAAAAGAGGCCATACGACCCATGCTCTTTCTGTCTTGGGCGAGTTGTCTCAATTTTAATTTGAAGTTTGAAGAATTTTTCTTGGTTTGTATTCTGCGTCAAAAAATGTCACTAATTAATTGACACTATTAACTGAAAATCAGTTGAGCTCTGAGAAAAAATATGCTAGTAAACTGTCGACTTGGTTCTGCTTCAATATTTGGATAATATTTTGCTTTGATGATTAAAACAGATGGTGATTGTATTAATTCCATATTTTACCTCTTCAGGACCGTCATTAGTGCACGCAGAGCAGTGCTGTCGTTCCATCAGCAAATGCGAGGTGTCGAGCCTCGTTGACGGACTGGTGACGCTTCTCGCTTCACACTACGCCACATACAACGTATAACTGAATGCAGTCAGCGCAGCTGTGGTATCTGAAGAGGTTTGTGATTCCCTCTGTATATTGAGAATCGGCAGTTTCCGCTCCATTAACGTGTTTTAATGTATCTTTAAAGTCAATTTCAGGCATTTAAAACTTTAATCATTTGGGCATAATTGCCAAATTGAACAAGATAGGCATTTAATGGATTCAATCATTGATAAAACGAATCGCGGCGCTGATTTCAGTGCTAATTGTGGCAATAACTCTCACAAATGTGCTCATCCAATCTACTGTTTATGATACATTGATCATACTAAGGCCTCAGGTCCTCCATTCATTGATTTGCAATTTATTGTTGTCCATTTTCCAGGTGGAGACTCTATCAGTTTTTATAAATGCAATTATTTTGAACTAACTTAAATAATTTTTGCAGGTACTCTGCCAGCCTAAGTTCTCCATCTGCAGGAGTGCATCCAATAGTGACCACGAGGAGAGGTGTCGACTGGGTAATGTCTGCTGTTTGGCCCGACCGCGGAACCTACAGAAGCAAAGTAGCACGCAGCCTGGGTAGCCCCACGGCGAAGATTCTGCTGAGTTCCTGGCGCGCGCCCTCCAAACCTGCGCTCATTATTTCCCCGATTGTCTCTGCCCCTCCAGTGTAGACTTGTGAAGGTGGCCCTGCTGTCCCGCTTTGGTCATTTCCTTGCCAAAGTATTGGTAGGTGGCTGCCTGCCAGCAGGCTCCTATGTGGAGCCTTTACGGATCCTTGTGGAGCCTTTACGGCGATGGCCCCTTGGGGCCATCGCCTCGAACCCCTCGGGGACCGCCGAAAACAGGATCCAGGCCGCCTCACCTCCCCAGGGTCCTGGCCGCCTCACCTCCCCAGGGTCTTGACCACCTCACCTCCCCAGGGTCTTGACCGCCTCACCTCCCCACGGTCCTGGCCGCCTCATTTCCCCAGTGTCCTGGCCGCCTCACCTCTCCAGGGTCCTGACCGCCTCACCTCTCCAGGGCGCCCCCGAGAAAGCAATGCTCCCGCGCCCCTACCACTCCGAGCTATATCAGCCACGTTCGTGCTTTTGTAGGCACCTTGGGTTCTTCACATTCAGGGGAGGCCTTTCGCAAGCGCGGCTGATCTCGAGTGTGGTGGAACCATTTCGCTCCATTGAGCACCTCTTCGACTGCCTCTTCTTACAACGGACGTTCCCATGTAACTAGATTAGATTTTCTTCGAGATGGCTCCCTTGTGATTTTCAGAATATTTTGCATACGTCGACTGTTATTTTAAATTGCTTTTTATTTCAATGTTAAGGTCCCTGACCGCTTCAGTATATTGCGTCTCACTTGCGTTGATTTGGTCTAATAACTGATATCGGGAATGATGACCTGTTATCGGCACCCGTACGCCATTTGGATTCGGATGAAAAATTGTATGGAATTCACTTCGGTTTTAATTTGCCGTTAATGTAAATTTCTTACTGGAGTGATAGCTAATTTCTACTGATTTCATTTGTTAGTAATAGTAATGTAACAGTAATACTCTCCTTATAAATATATTCACGATGCATCAAACTGCAGTTTCTTTCTTTATTTTAATTAATGAAGATGCATCTATATATCCGTGGAATTTTTTCCTGCATGCATACATGCATGCAGGATATTTCAGTTGAACCAATAAAGATATGAACCGATTCCTCGCGTTATTATTCATCATGCCTCGCTATGTCTATACGTTTCGCCATGTCTTCCTATGTCTCGCCATGTCTCTTTATGTCACGCTGTCCACTTATGACTCGCTATGTCACCTTATTTCTCCTTATGTCTCGTTATGTCTCCTTATGCCTCGCTATGTCTTCTTATGTCTCGCTATGTCTCGTTATGTCTCCTTATGTCTCGCTATGTCTTCTTATGTCTCTTTATGTCTCGCTATGTCTCCTTATGCCTCGCTATGTCTTCTTATGTCTTGCTATGTCTCCTTATGTCTCGCTATGTCTTCTTATGTCTCTTTATGTCTCGCTATGTCTCCTTATGCCTCGCTATGTCTTCTTATGTCTCGTTATGTCTCCTTATGTCTCGCTATGTCTCCTTATGTCTCGCTATGTCTCCTTATGTCTCGCTATGTCTTCTTATGTGTGGCTATGTCGGATTGTAATAGTCTGTATGAAAGAAACTGTAGGAAGCCGCAAAGTACAAAACGGGCGTGCCGTTTTCGTGCGGGAAAACGTTCCCGTCGTTTAATTTAACGGTAAATAACCGGCCACGGTAATGCCGGTGGGAACGTTTTTTTTACGGTCGATTTTCTAACAGTGTATTGAATATAATATTGATTATTACGAGCTTATTTATTATTACGGGACCTAATTACTACAAAGTCCTTCGATGTATGTCGGTGCGTGGCTGTTCTCGTGGCTGGTCCACACACGCGCAGAGGTTGCCGGGGCTCAAGTCGTGGTCACAGCCGCCGCAGTAACCAGGCGTGCAGTAGGTCTTCGTAGCGCAGACGACGCCGGAGCCAGCACGTGCACATGCTTACTTCGAACTTTCCGGCCGCATTCGGGCAGGGCTTCCAATAGTTGTCTAGTTCCATAAAATCTATTAATAAACCGAGGCTGAACAAAGTGGCGTTACCGTGCATTTAAAAAGCTGATAAAATCACAGAAACTTGCACAGCAGGAATAATGCGAAGTCAAAGATAGTACCCTGGGAGTTGCTGTCATGGAGTCGACAAACTGCCGATAATTCTTGGAAGGGAGGTGAAGTAGCAGGGGTGAGTATCGTTTTTACATCAGATGTTCAGGATGAAGCTACCTCAGATGTCACCCTGAATTAAGGCACAGAGCAAGTGTTAAGAAACATATGACCCGTAATTAATCATATTGTAAACTAAATCATAGTTTGTTGTTTAATCGTTTGTGAAACCTTGAGCTCAAGTCGGGCACTGCTTGCCAGTCAACAGTAGCCTCTGCTACGGGCTAGAAGTAAAGCGGAAATTTTTATTTTCTCAGTCATATAAAATTTTGATGGTTATAAATTTAAATGAAAAAAATATAATGCTTGATAATCTTTAATTATTACCGTGCTCAATTATTCCACTGTCACTTCGTTAGTGAACTTGTTGAAATTCTACGTCTTCGCTGGCTGTGTTAAAATGTTATTGAAATGCGTTGTAGCATTTGGACGCTGTTTGTTTAGTATAGCATAGCGGTGTCAGTGTTGATTAGTCCGTTGAACCTGTCGACAATTCCGAAAATTGCAGAATATTTACAGCTTATTACGGGTCTCGAACACGCAACTCACTGTTCCAACTTTACCATGCTTGACCACCCTACCGTGCACCTCGCTGTGTTTGACCAGAACTAAAGCAGGTAGCTGGGATCGAACCCACAGCTCACTGCTCCAATTTCGGTTCTCTGAACTGTAACATGTAGGCCAACTAACCGCATGGCCAAGAACGCGAATCAGCTGCTTAACAAGATGGTCCCCAAAAACTCGTATTATTCAATCCGCTCGATCTTCTCAATTCATCAAAGTGGTTCCTTCTTTCTTATGAGCGATTCCGATTTTCAAGTGTCATAAATTTTGATTAACATGAGACACTTCATACATGAATTCCACCCTTGAGACTTCATGAAGCACAACAGCAATCTCACTCAGCCGAGCCAACCGCTGAGCCCCGACTAATCGAGAATTATTCCCGCTAGAGCCGCCACAGTCCGCCATGAGGTGAGGTCAAACAAAATTTTAAATCCGTCATGTTTATTGAATAAATGTAAACAATAATGAATGCGCAACTACTAAAGGTAAGAAAATGTTCCGATGCACATGTTCCGCGATGCTACAGAAAGAATGTGGAGATCACAATGTTTGCTCGATAATAAAGTCTCCATACCAGGAAAAGATGAAGGAAAACTCGACATTTGTTGCTGAGAACAAGGACTTATGCTCAACACTTAGTAACGTCGCGACCCCGCAGTATGGAGGGGCCCTTCAAAAACACAAACTTGCATGCTAAACAAACCTGGAAAATGCATTATATAATATATACAAAGCCTTATCAATCTCGGAATGAAATCTAAAGATAACCCAGACCACGAATGACGTTATTAGTAAGTAACAGTTTAGTTCCTGTCATGGATTAACTCATATTTATTGAAACAAAAAGCACATTGCTAGAGCTTATTAGAAATGAAAAAGAACTTTTAACGTTGTCATCGATGGCTATTTTTCGATGCATCATAAAATCTCTTAAAGAAACAGCCTTTTGTTTAAAGTGACATCAACATTCCCTGTTCACATTTGTGATTAAAACTCAGGAGAAAGAAACTACAAAAAAAGACTTCGCATATAACAACAGACCAGTTAGTTAAGGGCTGTATCTCGCTATCAGGAACCTTTAGGAAAGGCTCTTTCTGCGTTTTTTTCAATTTTCAACTGTTATAAATCGAACGAGTCTTGAATTACATAAATCGTTCATTCAGCGACATATTATACTGCAAGGCGGTTTTGAAATAAAGCATATAACAAAATTTCTCCCTATTTCCAACTGAAATTCTCCTTATTTGAATATGTAGTCATGGCCTCGAAATTTCTTAACTTAAATATTATTTGGAACGTACCAACTTGAAAACATCTGACAACTATAAATTTGAAACTGAATTTCTTACAAAAGCTAAAGTTCTAAGGACCATGAACGTACACATGTCTTCGTCGAGTTGATCATCATAAAGCTAGGCGTCGTCTCCACCATATTCGTCGTGGTTGGAGCTGGAGGTGTAGTCGTCAAAATCATCGCTGTGGTCAACGTAGATGTCCATATAAGATTTGAGAGTCGCGCAGGAGCTCATGCATGTTCTGGAGAAAATCGTGGCCGTAGAACAGCCACTCGTTGTCCAAGCGACACGACCCGACGCGCTCGTAGATGTACTTGTCCAGCTTGTGGTCTGAAACAAAAATACGTTAATGCACATCAGAACGATACAACAAATTCAGGGCCATTCAGTTGTGGTGTTAATTCTTTATTGCGATTCAAGCTTTGTAATAAATTATAAGCTTAAAAGGCAGCAAAGTAAAGTGGAATGCACGCTTCGATGAACCAAAGAAATTCAGCACAAAGGAGCTAGTCTGCACTAAAAACAATTTTAAACAAAGGGATGCCGAAGAAAATTCGTTGTTCAGTGAAGAACATATTAGATCAACTGCAATGAACGTATCTCTTAAACAGACCGCATCAAATATCAATTGATCATGACTTATCCAAAGAAAGTCGAGATAGTTCACTTGATATGCTCCAGTAACAGAGAAACGCGTGAGAGCAAACCTTTGATTTTGATGAGAGGATTTGCAAAGGCCGCATGGTGAGTGTAGTTGACATGAAGCACGAGGGGCTCGTCGTGGTCGAGGTACAGTGAAGGGAACCTGTACCTGCCCTCGGCCAGCGCCTTCCTGCGCAGCTCAGTGAGCTCCTGTGCCGTGGCGAGATCCACGAACACCATCGCGGCGCCGATCTCGACCAGCTGAACGTGGGCCACGAGTCTGCAGGGCGACACGCATTAGGGAGCTGGTCTACGGTAGCGGCACGGCGGGTACTGGCTAGGTTAGGTTCGGCTATAGCTGCTCTGACTATTCCAAGCCCTCACTATGAATATCAATCCATTTGTCTGAATTCATTAGTTTTGCATCATGTGCTCCGATTCATAACGTCTAATTGTATTAGAACACCACAAATGTGTATTTAATGCCCATTTAACAAATGCTTAGAGTAGCTGAATGAGAGATCGTACTCATCCGAAGCCGTTAGACAAAACTTTGGAGAACGAGTGATAATAAACGGTATTCGAAGGCAATCAAAAACAAGAGTCAAACCATGGTTAATGCTAAATTCCCTATCACTTTAGACACGAATAAATCTGAAAATCTAGAATTTACATTTCAAGTAACAGCTATGGAGTATTCTGGAAACATGTATGTTACAAATTTTTTTACGAAATATATACACATGATAAAATCCTTTCATCGCTTGGTCAATTTCAATTTATTCTTCAAGAATTTCAATTTGAAGATCAACGTTTTATAATTCTGTGTGTGTGCGTGGGAAGGAAATGTCTATCAATCACCCATCTCATATGACTGAACAACAAAAAACGTGTCCGCTAACAAACTAACCAGTAACCACTACGGCACTCGAGTTCACATAAATATGCAAGGATCAGAGATGGACTCACTGTTTCAGCTGAGCCAGTGAGAATTTCTCGTTTTTGACGAAGACTCGCTGCAGCTTTGGCATCCGCAGGAGGTTCTTGTAAGAGTCATCGTCCAGAGCGACGGAAGGCAGCGTTAGGGACTTCACCGACGTCGGTGCAAGTGAAAAGTCTACGGTGAGCTGAATAACAGAAATTACGAATAACTAAGAATGAAACGTAGGTAATTCTCACTTTATTTTATGTCATAATATTGAACTTAGCTTATGTAAAGTTGTGAAAAATATAAAGAGCAACGTGGTTGCTCCTCTCTATGAGGGAGAAAAACTTAGGGTAGAATACCAAGCGACGCTTCGTGGCAGCTTGCGGGGCGTATTTAAGTAGCGCGGCGTACCGCGAAAGCCAGTGTAGCTGGCTGAGGGTAGCTGGTCCCAAAACAATACACACCGTCAAAGACACCATCACGCTGACAGACTGACGAATTTTACCGAGAGTGACGTACATTAAAGACGTGACTTATTAAGACGATAAAAAATATAAATAAATATAAATATTTAATATAAAAAAACGAGCACCGACCATCCGCGTATACCATTCAAAACCCTAACGGGTAATCACCCCCCCCCCCCACCTACAGTTAGAAGAAGAGTTATTACTCTTCCATCTCTACGAGTTATTAGTTACGTCTCTACGTCGTTAGTCTCTACGTTGCGTTACGGTTGAGATACTTCCATGTGTCATTTTTATCCTCCTGTTTCAATCGTCATTGGCCAGTCGAGAACCTTCTCAAACGTGTCACAATGAACCACTCCGGCTTAACCAAACTGACATATGATAAATAATGAATATCTGCAACCGTAACGCAACGTAAAACTGAATGAGAAATAACTCTGATTAAACAACGTGAATACCGTATATTAGGCTCTTGAATAACTTACGTTAATAAGAGCACTTCATTTGCAGCGTTCATCTAAGGAGAAAAATAACTATTTTCAGAAGATACAAATGGAAAAGAATCAACTCGTAGCCACACTAATTATTCGAGACTATGTCGTGAGCGTAATGTTTAGATGGGCATCTAAAATATTCCAATGGGAGTCATATACATTTTTTATTTCCAATCTATTAAAACAGGCCTAAAAATGAGGGATTACTGTAATAGAAATTGATAGTTCATGCTATCCAAAGATAGTTGATATGTCCAATGAACACTGTATCATTCCGAAATCATAAGGAAACTAACTTGCATTCTAAGATATTTTCAAGACTTATTCACACGTCCTCGAGCGAAGATATGCTAAATTATTAGGATTAAGATTCCCTAAAATAAGGTCAGGTTCATCCCTGAAATTTTCCGTTCCGGAGAAACTGTATGCCAGCTTTTAGAATTATAATAGAGATGTTGAGCAGCTAGCAGCCCTCTGCCTCTAAACCTTGGAAACTAATGGTTTAAATAAGAAAGATTTCTTCATATATCACATAAAAACCGAAAATCAAAGTTAGAACAGGTGAATATGTGAAAAAAATCTGAGTGGCAAACCATGAAGTTGAGAACTCTGAAATCTTCAACGACAGTAAATATAGTTATTAGTTAATAGAAAATATCAACAAGGTTTCCAACTGAAGTTCCTTAACTTGCTTTATTTGCAATTTAGACTCGCAACTCACGTCATGAACTTCTCCTGGGTAAAAGTCGATGTAGAGGTCCTCGACGTCAGGCAGAGCGCTTCTGAGAAGAACCTCAATTTCATCCCTTCCATTAATCATACAATGTAGCACCTGCGACAACAAAAAGCCATTTTGCCACCAAATGAAACATCAAAAGAATAAACCAACAGTTACATCACAGGAATATTTGATAAGGATTCAGGATTGCGAGTAATCAAAGAAATCTATGTACACACGTACAATATAGTAGTCTTGTCCAGAGTCTCTAAAGATGAATTATCGAAAGCTTGCAACATTTTTCTACCTTCAAGTTATTGAATGTCTTGAAATTGGGAGGCTCTGCAAAACCGTGGCAATCAAGCTGGAGTTGGGTGAGCGCTGGACACTTGCATGCCATGGAGGGGAGCCAATCCTGCAGCCAATCTCCCCTGCACGCCAAGCACAGCAAACACCAAATGTAAAATTAATGGACTTAATGCAAGAAATTAAACAAGTAATATTACTCACACACAACACAGACAAATGAGAATTGTACGAAAGGTCATTCAAATAATTTTCGTGTTAGTTTACCCGCGAGAATTAAATGCTTGATTCGACTTTACTCAACTTCAAGGCAAGAGACAAATTAGAAACATGAACTAATATATCCTAAAAGTATTTTCAAGTCGGTTTAGAAATGATGCATTTAAAAATATTTAACAACCGTTTAATTGAAGATAGAACTTCCATTCAGATCAAACTTGCTCTAATTATTCAACCCATAATGTAATATATTCAGTGTAAACAGTGAGCTTGATCATCATCCGAGTCGCTCATGAGGAGCACCGACAATTGAAATTTGATCCAAGCCGACCGCTAGTTACGTTCCTTTAACATTTTAGTTCCTCTAACCTATTTTCCCTCTTAACTGTTTTTACTCTAACCTGTCTTCCCTGTAACCTGCATTTCTTTGGTCGCTGTCTACTGTAACCTGTATACTGGCATTTGACTCTTACAACTCTGGGTGCAAGGAGTGCAAGAAGATGAACAAGCGGAACGTCGTGAGGGTAGAGTTGAAAGGGAAGCCCGCAAAGCCCGGAAAGCCATCGTTTGATCTGAAGTTTGATAACGTTGTAACGTTGCGTATTGAAAGCTCTCTCAGAGGAGCTTTCAACTTCCGTAGAAGAGCGAAGTCAAGATGCGTTATCATGCCCAGCCGCAACACCTCCAGGTATTTGCATTGCCTCAAGTCTCGCAACAATTCGTTCGAACCTGACGTGTTGAAAAAGCCCTGAAAAAATATTCAATCATTAATTGAAAGTCGTAAGCAAATTTTTCTTATTCTTCAAATTGAACATGCAAATTTTTTCAGCAAATAGAACCATTTTCATCCATAAAATTGTGCAAAGTTCATAGCATAAAATAAACAGAACTGTCCTCAGCGGAAGCCCAAAACTGTCAGCAGATCCTTTTAAGAAAAGCACTTCCAAAATGTAAGGTTTTTTCAAAAGCAGATCAACAAAGACTTTATAAAAACTGAGCAAATCGTTGAAGGATTGAATACGAAAGACGTATTAGAGGGAACGCAAATAAAATGCCACAGGGAAAATTGGCAAGAGTTTTGCCTCGATTTATGAACAGGAAAGGACCAAGGTATGGAGTGTTGACTATACTGAGCAATGGCCATACTGACTATGCTGAGCAATGGCCATTGCAAAGAAGTGGGAGTTCTGCGAGAGACTGGTGTAATCTGTAAATTTTGCCCCAAAGAAGGTTGTAGACTTCTTCATTATTTGGATTGCATTCGGGTGATTGCAGTAACAACTACGAAATTGAACAGCCATTTCTCCTACCACCGAGACAAGCTCTAAACCAGACCAGGTCTCAAAGTATTACAAGCGAGCAGCATCATCTCAAGATCGTCGATGAATTCCACTGGCTCCGTGACACTCTTGGCAACAAAGTCAAACCCCGGACTATACCGAACAACGGCTCCTGCAAAAAAGCGAGAGTTCTCCAAGAGGCAGGTGCATTCTATAAATTTTACTTCAGAGAAGGTTGTTGACTTCTTCACGTTATGGATTACATTGGAGTTATTGGAGTGACAACTGCGACATTGAACTGCCGTTTCTCCTACCAGAGACAAGCTCACTACTATACCCGGTCTCAAAGCATTATTAACAAGCAAGTTCATCTCAAAATCGTCGATGAATTCAACAGGCTTTGTGACATTCTTGACAACAATGTCAAACTCCAAACTAAACGCAACAAAGGCCCCTGCAAAAACGCGGGCGTTATCCGGGAGGCCGGTGTAGTCTATAAATTTTGCTTCAAAGGAGGTTGTAGACTTCTTCATGTCTTGGACAACATCGGACAAATTGGACTAACAATCAAGACACCGAGCCGCTGTCTCGTTAGCTACCTTCAAACTGGAGGCCAGGTGAACCACGCAAGACAAGCTCACAACCAGACCGTCACTCGCATTGTGCTGAAGATACACACCAGCATCGTTATCATGCTGTGGCCCGACAACAACCGACCGGCGATAGCTGAACCCCTTATCTCTGCAGATTGGACTCCACCTATCTATTTTCTGACTACCGGATTTGTCCGAACTCTGAAAGAATCTTCCGAGTAATTTTTGGTCCAAAATTTTACTGTTGTATCCTAGTTACTAATATAATGTACGGTACTTATTTCCACCAAAATTTCAATGTTTAATGCTTCTTCTAACTTGAAAATGAATGTTTGACAACTCAGTCATCCGAGCCTCACTTCTAGACCGAAAATCCTGAGTTTTGAGCAGCGCGAGAAGATGGTCTTCATGGAGGTGTAGTGATTCCTCTTTGACGAGAACAGCAGGCATAAATCTTCCAGGTTCACAGCAAGTTGACCTAAAATTGAATATTGTCGTCATTTGCAGTTATTCGGAGAGGCTCAGCAGTCGTTTACAAACTCCAATGGACTGTTTGAAACTTTAACCTGTCTTTATTTCGAATCACTCATAAACAAAATGAATAAAAGAATCGAATGGAGCACCATGAATTGCAATCAAAACATGAATTTTAACACGAATTGCAGTGAAAATGAATTTGAATATCACTGATGGCTTTGCAACTGAAATTTGTAAGTAAATATTAGAGCTGAAGGGTCTGATTTGGAAGAAGCAGGGACAAATTTAACTGCTTACCTATGGCAGCAAATACGTTGACATCAAAGATGCAGCGATACTCTTCGAGTCTAAGAGTTGTGAGGTGGTTAGCGTTCATGATGAGCATCTTGTAGGTGCAGAACTTGAGGCCTTGCGTGAGCTGGACCGGCGACTTGCTGGAAAGCAGAGCAAACGTGGTTGGCAACACTCACTAGCAATTATAATGAATGCAACAAAAGTGTTGCTGAAATGCAAGATAAGTGTGAAGCAAACATATGGGAGAAAGTGTATGGAGTAGCCTACTGCAAGTAAACTCGAGTCCAAACCTTGCGTTACTTATAAGAGACGAAAAAATATCAAGGAATAAACAAGATCATGAACATCAATAAATGAATGCAGTTCTTGAAAAAGTAGTAGTAGAATGTTTAAAATCGTTTCAGTTATCAAGCTATTTCACCGAAGAAGTTGAAAATAAAGCAGGTTTCATCGCAAATTTCACAAATCGTTCATAAACCCAAATGGTTAGCAGAGTTAGAATATCAAAGACACAAAAAAATATATGACGGGACAGGTGAACAGATACAGGAACCAAGACTCTCGTACAGTAGGCCGCTCACAAGGGCGTCGGCCGCCCGCACGACAGAGATAAAGAAATGTTAGTAATCCTGCATATGTGACGACAAACCAACAACTTAGACCAACAGTCATACATCGCAAGCTCTGTGGTGGGGCGACCAGCAAAGATATCCCTTCCCTGTAGTGGCACGTCTTGCCACAACACGATCCGTTCTCTGCGGTAGCCGTCATGCCACAACACAATCACTTCCATGTAGTGGCAGTCATGCCACAACACAATCACTTCCCAGTACAATTACTTCCCACAGGACAATCACTTCCATGTAGTGGCAGTCATGCCACAACACAACCACTTCCCAGTACAATTACTTTCCACAGGACAATCACTTCCATGTAGTGGCAGGCATGCCACAACACATTCATTGCCCAGTACAATCACTTCCCACAGCACAATTACTTCCATGTAAGGACAGCCGGCCAAAGCCCACCTCCGATATTTGGAGAGGTTGGAGTGAGCACTTCCCCAGACGCAGCTGCCAGTGAAGTCGATGACGCTTTGCTGGCCCAGCACGCTGTAAACCAGCGATTGAAAGCGTCGACACACTGCGAGATTGTTATAGCTTATTATGATCATTAAAATGGCGAACACTGACCATTACATAATAATTTGATTTTCCTATTTAGCTGCAAGATGTCTAGAGGAAACTTGAGCCTGACAATAAGCAGGTGACTACCATGATATTCCCATTTACGTTCAATAGATTGTAGGAGTGTAAAGAGATATGCCAGCATCGTAAAAAATCAACAGAGAAAATAATTATAAATTCTGACATCTGACAGTAGCATTTAAAATATTTTGCTCTTCATTCTCTTTGTCATTGTTTAGTCAAATTTACATATTCTATAATAATGTGTGATATGAAAGTCTTCCCTTAATAGCAATTTTAAGTAACTCCCAGGATAATGATAAATGGATTGATTAGAATGGCTACTGAGAAACAGCCGGTGCTGATCAGCTGTTCCATTCACACAACTTACCTGCTTCAAGAGTCAGTTTTTCAGCAACACTCAAATATTTCATAATATGAAGCAAGACGTCATCATGGAGGACATGAAGTGTAGGCTGCCCACTGCGTGCAGGGCTCAAGTCAAACTCTTCATTGGAAAGCTTATGAAGCTTGTAGTCTTTTGAGGAGGGTCGGGATGTGTCCGTGTCATAAGATTGCCTTACAAATGCTCTCTGCTTCCCAAAGAACACTGCATCATAATCACTCAAAATTCTGAAAAACAAGTACAGGGTGTTTCAGAATTAAGTAACCCTTTTAATTTGTTAATAAATAAAAAACTAAGAACGTTATGAAGTTGAAACTTGTTTTATTTAAAAGAAGAACATTTTCATGGTAATATTGTATCATAGTTACGTCATTATCCTGTATAGCTTGCTAAATTTGTGTTTAAAGTCACGAAAAGTTCAAGAATCGGCAACAGGCCATGGGCCTATGTCTTCAACGCCGACACTTCTATTCTATTCTATTCTAAAGGACTTTAAAGGTAGACTAAACCAAAAAGTGACAAAACACACATTAATATAATTTTGGTACCCTTAACATCCATGCATTTGGAACTTTACTGAAAATAACAGCAAGTTGGAGCGGATATTGCAGCCATCACATCAGAACAAATGCACCCTCTGAAACATCAAGCCGGCCACTTGCTGTTTCTCCACTTTCCAAGAAAACCACTCCTGGTGCAAGCCCAATCTAAAGTCTTCCCTACACAAATGCAGAAAAACTTCTCATAGTGCAACAAACTTCTCAAACCTTATTATTGGTGCTAAGAATTTTGATAGAATTTAAGAAGACATTATTTTTAACCCGGGCTAGATCAATAACTAGTGATGCCACCAGAAAAGTTAATGTAGAAAACTTAGGTATATTTCAGCATTCAATGTAGAATAAATACTTCGAGGTCATACCTTTGCCAGCAAACCAGAATATGATACCAATGTTTTAGCAGGACAGAGAGGCAAGTTGGGAGTTGCTGTAGTTGCTCACAACAACATCAAAATTACACAATATGTTTATTAGGCTTCTTCAACTCACACATCACTTTCATGCCAGCTGGAGGGAACAATGATGGCAGAGGCAGTCTTCTCGCCAGGCTTCTGCTCCAGGGTGATGCAGTTTTGTGCAATACAATACTTCTTCGCTATCTCATCTTTAGTAACCTGGTATTCAAATACAAATGGTAATCAAACGATAAAAGTTCAAAGAAAAAACATTGGAGGCTTTAAAATGAAAGAAAGTGAAAAAACAAAGATAAAAAACATTATTGTCAGGCTTTAAAAAAAATTAAAATAGAATACAGTTGCTGTGATTGTAAAAAAAAGCTGCATCAGTTGATGTATGAAGAACAATCCAATCATGAACTACCAGTTGAATAATAGTTATTTATAGGTAATCAGACATAAAATTAAGCCAAAATACAAGGGCCATGAACACAAATTAATAAAATGCTAACTCATTTATAGACTAAAGTCATTAGGCCCCAAAAAACTTCAAAAATATGCGAAGAGGAGAAAATCATGCTTTGAAGATTTGTCTGCAAAATTTTACCATTTCTGATTAACTTGAAATTGTCCAACAAATGATGTCAACTACAGCTACAATAAGCTTTTTTATAATGCTTATGTGTTACAATGTAACTATTGTTAGCTGCAGCATTTCAACCTGACACTCTGAGACAAACTAATATAAATGCAAGAGAGACATGATAGATCACAGGAATGATACAAGCAAATTTAAGAAATCTTTAAAATATTCATAAATTTAAAATATTTGAAAACAAATTTCCAAATTTGATTTTGAAAATATTTTGAAATATTTCCAAAATCAACTAAAAGAAAAATTACAATTGCAAAATGTTTTGCCATTACCAATTTTATTGAAGGAAACAAACTGATTACTGGTTAAAATGGAGTTAGGCCAATACTGACATGCAGAGACTTAACATTTAGAAGTTAACTTACTGAGAGAGGTAACACAACATGTATGGTCAATGGTGCAATTTGAGAGGTGAGGTCTGGAAATTTATCACCCCAAGGTGTCATTTGACCTGCTCAATGAAGAAAATTAATTGGTAGCTAATTTACGGCAGAATTGAGAATAGCCAACTAACTTCTTCCGGCCCCATACATAATCATAATTAATGATATTCTAACATTTGTCCTCTACTTCTTAAAAAATAGCTTCATTTATAGAAAAGGTTTATTTTCAGTAACTGCAATGCACTTAGGTTGAATGACAGTCACACCAGTAAGGCTGTGTAATGCCTTACACAGCATTACACAGCCTTACTGGTGTGTGGCTGTAATGGCTGTAATGGTTGCTTTTTTTTTCTTGGATAAAATACAAGTTTACAGTTGGAAAGCAATGCTAAAGTTACAAGGTATTTCAAGTACAGACAATAAACTTTCAACCAAATAGAATGTTCTGTTATACTCTTCCATGTTTTTTTCATAGAAATACAGGAAATTTCATCAAAATTTTGCCTTAAAATTTAGTCAATAATTCATCATGAATTAATTTACAAGATGTTGCTAGGTCTAATATCTGTGGATGCAGGCAAGATAAACCTGTTTTCAACTTGTTGATTAAATGGCAACAACTTTACTCTGAATAAATGATCTCATTTATTATTCAGAGTCATTTTCATCTCATTCATTATTGGCTACTGCATGATTTTCCAGCTCATTACACCAGCAACATCATACATAAAATATTGAATAAAATTTTGAACAAGTTCAAGGGAATAAAATTAAACTGGTAATTAGTAAATTTCTAATTTGTCATTATGTTTGCCATTACACCAAAATGATGTCATTGATGACTTTATGAGTTAATTCAAAACTTGTACCATTATTTCTCTCAAAAATTACACTCTGCATGTATTAACACGTTGAATGTGATTCCCAAAACTGTCAACTTCCTGCTGGTGCCATTTTGTTTGGGTTTCAATTGAACCTGCCAATTTAAAATGATAAACTTTTTTTTTTGGTGATCAAATAAATTATTTAAACACATTTTCTATTATTTACACTTTTATATTTTATTAGTGTATCAACAGGATAGCCTAAAATTGGCAGTAATACCAAATTTTGTGGTTCTATTAAATGTCCTGTTTGTTTTTATAAACAACACACCCGTGGGTCATTTTGCAGCAGATGGAAATCAGCAACAACCCACTGGTGAGTCATATCAAACTCAACGTGTTAATATTTTTGTCATTATGTAACTGAACATCATAATCAGTATACACCATAGTATTCTCCTAGTATAAAAATTCCATTCAATAAATCATTTAACATATAGAATATGGCAAATTAATTTCATGTCTGCACTGCTAGAGACTTATGATGCAGGAAAACTTATGTCAGAGCATCAGCACCCATGATGTCATTAGTCTCGCTTATGTCACCTTTTGTGATGTCATTGTGATGGGTCTGACTCTACCTATATAAGCTCTTCAAGCTGACCACCAGTCAGTCAGAGGCAGGCATTGGAAGTCATAAGCCAAGCCTCTTAGCTGCAGTCCATTCGCAGCCTAACATCAGATGTGTCCACTACGTCTAACCTGTCAACTCCGGCACTTACTTAAATACCTGTAAGAAGTGTTGTAAACTCCACCTTAGTAGCTACTTGTACAAAACCTCATTGGTACCTTATCCTGTATTACTATCTATTAACAATTACTACTAAGGAAATGCCCATCTCTTCATTTATTCCTGTGACATTGTTATTTGGACAACTAATGGAAACAGAGACCCTCAAGAAAGAACTATATTAATTAATGATACAAATTAATAATTAATTAAATTTCTCAAAATAAACATCAAGGTTGTCACTGAACTGACAACATGACACTCACCTCTTTCTTGATTCTGATCCTGTTCCATTTCAAATGCTTTATTTTTTGCAAAGCTCAAAAGCACCAACAAAACTAGAACAAAATTAAGTAGGTAATAGAAGAAAAGTGTCAGGAAAGGTGCTGGTGCTCTTCGTTTATAAATTTATGGTGGTCAGAGCTCCATTTGTTTTGTGCTAAGCTAAAAAGTAGCTATTATCCAGCATCAAAATAAGCAGTTAACTGATGAAAGAAAAATTATTTGCATTATCTATATGAAATTCCCTCAGAAGTTTTGGGTTATTGTTGTTGTTGACTTGCTGAAGGTGTTGAGGTGACCTCACTGAGGCCACCTTTCACACCTGGACATAGCAATGGTCAACAAAGGTTGATGAAGTTTCACAACTTGCCTCGACATGTAGTCTAATCACTATGATCAATTTGACATGTTAACATTTATAACTAACTTGTTATAAATGTTCTGGAATCTTCATAAATTTAGTCTCCGCTTTTTTTTTTGTTTCTTTGCTCAGACACTATTCATTTGCAGGGCTACCCATTATCGCCTCACAGTTTCCTCATCTGTTCTGTACCTGTAAGAAATGTGCCCACTGCTTTAACAATGGGACGTTGCATCTGCCCATGTTCACTAAATTTCAGTTAATGAAGTTATAGATCAAGTTATGCAGAGATTGAGTCAATTTATGTAGAGAGACTTAAACCTATGCAGAGAGAGTTAAAGCTATGCAGAGAGAGTTAATGTTATGCAGAGAGAGTTAAAGTTATGCAGAGAGAGTTAAAAGTTATGCAGAATTTGCTCAATCTATGTTTGCTCACAACATGGCCAAATATAGTAGCAAATGTGAAACTTTTTCTAATAATCTCTTTGTGAATCCCATGACCAGTTAAGTAACATGGAAACCAGCATTATATATCATCTGGAAATTAAATGAAATCTTGAAGTAGATCAGGCAATTAATAATGAACTGTATTCTAAAAAAATTGCCAGTCAAGTATAGTAGTATTGAATAGTAATATTGACAATAAAGAAAAGAACAGGGTTAGCCTGTTGCCAATTCCTATGATGTTCTAGACTTGTTTCCTAGGGATCAGAGAACTTGTCTTTTGACCAAATCTATCCAAAACTGATGTCTAATTTAGGTACCGTAGCTGCGTGATTATCCTAAGTTTATCTATAGCCTTATATTTTTACGTTGATCAATAGGAGTTATTATTTTTCAGTTTCACATTACGTTATGGTCCCAGATATTTATTATTTATCATTTGTCCGGTTGGTTAAGCCATAGTGGTTTATCATGGCATGTATAAAAGGTTCTCAACTGGCCCTTGATGAATGAACATGGAGGGTAGTAAAT